AAAGGTTTTTTGTATTTTGTTACTTGCGAATTTTCATCGATAGAAAGTCGATATTTTCTTAACGAAAATATTATTGACCATATATTTTTTTTCTAAGCTTTTCAATTTCAGCTATTTTTTGTTTTAAATACATATAAGGTTACAAAAAACTTTATTACCAATTTTGTAATGAAAATTATTTGACAAAATTACTTTTTTTTCTAATACGTAAGTAAATTAAAAATATCGACAAAATATAAAAACGAAAAATTAGTTGTTACTAAAAAAAAAAAATAAAGTAAACAAAGTCCAAAAAATGAAAAATCTCTTAAGTTTATCTCTTGTTATATTTCTTGTAATGAGATATATTTATGTTGTACAACTAGAATAAGATATGTTGTAACGTTTAACGGAGTAAATCTGATAATTTAGGAAAGCAGGAGTTTGTAACCTTTGCTCTCTATTTCCCTTTACACTCTGTTGCACGATTTTCATCACTTCATATATTCGTATAATTTATATCTTTACACTCATAAGCACTTTTATAACCACATTATAATTAAATAATTTTTACGCTAAAACACTATGGATCTCTATCAAAGCAGAAAAATTGTTATGGGAATTTTTCCTTCACAGACAAAAAAATTTATAAATTTTAATAAATTTAATATAATGCGATAAAAGAAAAAAATAAATACATATAATAATAAGCTAAAAGCATCTCTGTATTCAATTGGCACTGATATCATCCACAATGTAAATTATAGTTAATACGCCACGTGGACACTTCTAACTTCACAACTTTACGCCTGAATAATTTGACATCCCGAAGGTCCATGCCCAGGAATTCGAGAGGGATGTCATGCACGTGTACACCTTTTATTTCAGCTGGCTGTCCGACTTTTTCGTCGTACGCGAAGAATTTAACGCTACTGAAACTTACTGAAATTTAACGTTACTGAGAAAACTGAGATGGTCTCTCTCTCTCCCTCTCTCTTTCTTTCTCTTTTCCCATGGCACGGGCTTGGCCATTTCGAAGGGGATGCCTGAGCAAGTCCACCGGGGCGCTCTCAGCGGCAGAGGTTTAAGACTGCGGAGTTAAGCTCGGGGCCCGGAACCGGAGAATGTGGTCTTCTCCGGGCCGGGCGTGTAACTACATCATGCCAAGAGTATTCGAAATACTCGGCGATGAAGTATGCCACGGTATCAGAGGTCTGCGGCCTGTAACAAAGCAAGCCCTCCGGGCACCGAGTTTACACACGAGCCCAGGCATCCGCCGCCGCCGCCAGCGAGGGAACGAATGCTAATGCAACCTCGAAAACTTTGTCATCGATGCCAACGACCCGTTATGAGACCGATACGCTACCACCGCGAAACTAATCGAGTCGGCCTGAAACCTACATAAAATCTGTTTGAAACATTTTATTAGGACTCCTGACTTAGTTGCCGCGGTCATTAATATGACCTAATGGTCGTGACGTTATAAACGAGGAATGACATGTTGGAATTTATTTCATGCCATTTAGAAGTAAAGACTTTGAATAAAACAAAATAATAAGATCGTTTTAAATACTTATAAAAATAGACAAATGTGTCCCTACTCAATTTTCACTTGAAATATCTTTTACGATTATTTACTGACTGTCAGAGTGGATAACTTTGACCCATTTTTAGAGAAATATTGTAAAACAATCTTATTATTTTATTTTATTTTTTATCTAAATTTTCTTTACTTACAAATGGTCCGAGAAATTGTACAAGAAATTTCAACGTGTCGTTTCTCGCTTATAACATCATGAAGCAATATGGCTGAGGTGACTAGTTAGTCTTTAATTTGAATACATCATTCGTTTAGTTAACGGCTTCTGTCTGATTTTTGAATAGATACGTATGTTATTTATGTCTAAGATAAAATAACAATAAGTGTGCAGATAGAAAAAATGCATGTAATGCTTTGCGTTTATTTATTTTTTTTTTTTTTTTACTCTTTTAAGTATGCAAAAGTAAAGATCTTACTATTTTATTCTGTACATTGATTGGCCCATTAAAAGAACAAAGGATTTTAATGTGCCATTATGGGTTTAAAATGTATTCGTTAATTTTTTATGACCTAAAATTTTATTCAGTGCCGGAATATCCGCCCGTTTCAATTAACCATTTCACTCAGAGTACATTACTTCCTATTCTGCTTTCGTTCTATATAATATTTCATACTATATTACATATAATAGTTTAATATAATATGAACGTATGATCTTTATAGTTATTTTATTATTTACTATTTATTACTTATTTAATAGTTTATCACTCTTTGACATACTGTAAAATTGGAAAAAAAGTTTAAAGACACATTTAAATATTTATAAAAACTCAATTATATACATACATAAAACGCGTTCTTTTTAATCAAGTTTTCATTACCTATAATGCGCACTTCTCTCACTGGAAAAGTAATGCGAGATGGAAAACGTTTTAATGACAAAAATCCGACGAAAAGTACCGAAAGCGCCCGTCATCCCCTCGTAATTCGTATGTACGTATGCGAAGAATTCGCCGAGAAAAATGCAATTCATTGCCGGGACGTGTGCCGGTTTCGACCCTTCGTCTTCTATCTCACAGCCAAGTGTATCTTTCGTCTAAAGGACGGCCAGCATGGCGGAACAATGCTTTTAACTTTACAGTGCCATTCAAGTGCGCTCTCTCGACCCTCAGTTATACTACAGGGTCGGTTGTTAACCCAACGCTGAGAGATAGAGATTTCAGGCAATAAAACCGGTGTGATTCTTCGTCTTTAATTTGACTCAATGGCACCTTCTCCCATATGGAGTTGACAATTGCACAGTCATTGAAAATCCATGATATTCTGATATCAATGTTTTTTTTCTCAATTTGCAATGACATGCGTATATATGTTCGTATGTTGTGTATGCCAATGAGATAAAAATATGATTAACTATAAGATTCATAAGTAATAGATATTATAATATAATACATAAGTATCAATCTAGCAATAATTTTTTTCGATGTTATCTTCACATTGTACAATTATAAGATCTGTACAATTTTATGTCGATAACAAATAAAAAATAAATGCAGTACGATATATTTATCTAATTACTTTATCGAGGCATGATTAGATCAACAAGGATTAGAGCAAAAAGACAACAATTGCAAATAGAATCAGAACAGCCAAAATATTTCTGATATAAAAAGCACATTACCGAAAGCAATTATGCAACTAATGGTCAATGGTCATAAACAAATCATTGAATATTGGCTATAGAAGGAAACTAATCTAATAATGGGCTTTAATGGGTTAATATTATATTATTGTTTTTCTAACATATATATAAAAAGCACATTACCGAAATCAATTATGCAACTAACTGTTATAAACAAATCACTAAATATGGACTATAGAAGGAAACTGATCTAATTACGGGGCCTTAATAGGTTAATATTATATTAGTTTCAAATATATTACTTAATACATTTTTTTGCCATAAACATTTTTCAAGCATACTGTTCATTATATTTATATTATGCTTATGTTTATAAATTCATATTATCTCCTTTGAGTGGCAAGAAGCAAGGATTTGATATTCATTTTCAAGTAGCTAAAAATATGCTAAAAACATATGTATGCTAAAAATAATTAGAAAATACAAGTGCAAATTTAACATAAAATTATTAAAAAGGATTTATAAGTAATACTCATATGACCAAAGTTACATTCGGTAGGAAAATTCAGTTTACGAAAGTAAGACTGTGTTGCATGTTCAACCTTTGCACCCATAAGTTCTTGCATATTAACTTGGGTAGATTTTTTAGTTAATGTAAATATGTGCTTGTTACCGTCGGCATATATAACATCTTTAATACTTGAATTTAGAGTAGCAATGCTTTCTGCAATTAGACACCGTGTTCGCGGAACAATGTAATATTCGCAGAGTTCTCTCCAGACGCCGGAATATAATTCGCTGTTTTAATATTAGACATGAGGTAAAAATCATTAAATTGTATTATATATACATAACACACACATCTTAAATAGTGAAATTAGTATATTGGATAGTAATAAAGTTTGGCTTTATTCAAGTAATGCAAATGTGATTAATATTATTTAATTCAATTATTATATTTAACATGTTCTAAATAACATAATTATTTGAATTTAAAAATTATTTTCAAAAATTTAATAATTTCGGTCTCATAAAATTAATTTTAAAAGATAATTTTTTTCTTATCAGTTCTATGTTTCTAAATTCTATTTATATTATATATGATAGTATAGAATGAAAATAAAAGCGAAGATAATCATACGTAAAAATAAATAATTGCGACAACTTCTATTTTCCCAGTAATATTTAAATAAATTAGAAATGTAATATATTTGCATAAAGTCCAATGTTTAGTGCCATCTAATTAAAATGCAGCTGATTATGTATTGCTGATTTCATTATTGTCTATTATTATTATTTCATTATTGCCTATTCTGTATTATGTACTCGTGTTTGATGACATCTAGAATTAATATTATTTCTGTCAATAAAAATATCGTTTGTAAAGAGAATACTTGTATTTTATTGTTAATAATTTTCTAAATTATTCAAAATATATATAGAAACAAGTTAATTAATTAAAATATTATTATTAACCAATTATTATTAACATTTGAAATATAGGTATGTACTCAAAGAAAATGCATAGAATGCTCACGCACTGTTTTTGCGTCTAAACAAAAAGAAATTGATTGCATAAAAAAGAAATAATCTGTATTTCACAGTTCGTGATGCGGTAATCTTTCATTAGACTGGAGTTAGTTCTCCCTACCAAAGCGGCCGGATACACGATATAAATGCGCACAATTGACCCTGACGAACAGTATGAGATAATCTTCCAACGCGTGACATTCGTTCTAAGTGTATCTTAACTCATAGACGTGGTGCTAGTGTATAACAACATCAACCGATCGACAAGTTAATTAAAAGCGCTGAATCATTTTTATTTAATAATTTTCAGTTATCATCTATATTAAAATATTGCATGCATAATTTTGTGACAAAAAGAGTATGTATGTCGCAATATTATCTACAAAGTTCGAGCAATAAATTGTATTTCTGTGCAAAAAATAAAAACTTGTGTGATTCTCAAGATTAGTAAGGACCGGTGGTAAGAGAGTCTTGTGGTAATTATATTTTACTATGCAATAATAATTTAATTTTATATTATAAGAAATTATATAAATGTACGAAATCATGATAGTGTGACTCTGAAATACACAATGACATGTTATTAGTAAGCAAAGAAAGAGAGTTATCAAGCAACGCGTCTCTTTTTCGCGCATGCGTGATAGATGTTTTGTTTTGTACAAAGCCTGTGGTATATATATTATATATATATATATATATATATATGTGCCTATAGAAAGAGATACACATATCGGCATTCTTATATTATTAAGACCGTTTTAAGTACAATCTTAAGATGTCATAAACCAATTACAGAGCCAAAGAGTGATGGCAAAAAAACCTGTTTCCTCGTCCATTTTTTTGGACCTCAAATTTCAAACTTTTTTTTATGCCAATTAGTATTATGATGATTTCTCATAACCCATGAAAGTACAAGAAACTCTTCAAGTGTCCATATCAAGGAATAAAATATATCGTTTCTTATGAATTTTTTTATGTCGGATTCAAATATAACCTTAGTTTTCGTCTAGCATGAAAATTCCCCGAGATAGATGGGAGTTGAAGTCACACTTGACGCCGCCTCTCACAGATCGGGATGCTTTTCTACTGTGAATTATTTCCGACTCGCAATTCCGATGAGCTTGATCCGCGCAAATAAGAATGACAGTTGTTTCAAGTGATTAATAGGGAATGTATATTTTCAGAGTGCGCGCGCGCGCTTTATAAAGCACGCCCTCTCATAAATGAATAAATAGTAAATCGTTCTTTGAACAATAAATCGTAAATGATCCATTCGACAGAATATATCCTTGATATTACTAATTAACTTAAACCACACGTTCTTCCTTATGCAATACACCCTGACTGGAAATTATCACTTTCACCCCCTTGTATCTTCGGAATCATGCCTATGCTCATCTCGAAATTTTACTGAGATTAATGTTTCATCTAATAGTACTATTTGCCATTAAAAAAATGTTCGAAATTCGAGATCCAAAATATAGGCGAAATTTGCCATCACTCTTTTTAATTAAGATATTCAGATTACTTGAAAAAAGAATCGACTACAAATACTGATAATCGTAACCTTCTCTCTCTCTCTCTCTCCCCTCCTCTTCTCTCCCTCTTCCCCCCTTTCTTTCGGCAGAAACTTTGATATACAGGCAGTGTATATTTTAGTGTTATAGATATTAAAGTTCAATGCGTGATTATAAAAAAATATCTAGTTTTACTTTTCAAATTACAACGAATCATTACTAGATCATTATTTTTCAAAACGTTAAAAACATTAAACATTCGAACAACAATAATACATATAAAATATATGATATCTTGTTCCTTAAAGAATTCAAGATAACAAATGAGAATTTAAGTAAATTTACAGCTAGTATTCATGGTCGATTTTTATATTCAAGATCGACTAAAGTATAGTCTTGAAATGTCATAAATCAATCACCTACCGGGGTATTGACATCTATAACTTTAAACGGTCTTGAAATAAAAAACTATACTGACCGACTATAGCGAATACTAATCCATGTCTTTTCTCTTTTTAGATTTTCAAATTTTATTCTTTACATTTAGTTACCATATCTCTCTCTACTTATTGCCTATCTCCATCAATAATAGATTACTTATCTATAGCGTTACATTACCTATAATATACATTACCTATTAATAATATATTATCCATCTCTTTTTCTCTCTTTCCGTCTTTTATCCATATTTAGATAATAAATATCTATAGATAATAAATGCCTTAAATAAATTACAATAGATCAGTGCAAGAATTTACTTACAACTTTTGGCTGATTTTTTGTTTAGTCCCCTCATGCTAGAACTAAACTAAAAATCAGCCGAAGGTTGCAATTAAATTCCTGCATTGATCTATATAATTTATCTCACCAGCTCGCATGCACTCTAAATACCGATTTATTCGATGATTTATATTGATAACAATAGATAAGTTATCAGTTTGCTACAGGCTTGTAAACACGTAATGTTAAAATCAAAATCATTCTATTATGGGTCATAATTATAAAACTAAATTTTCTCTCTTAAGAATATCAAATATTTTTTATATAAAATACATATAAAATCAAAATTTTTCTGCATTTTTTCAAAACTCGATCTTTCTTCATTATAGCTATTGTACGTATTTTTGTCTAAAAGTTTCATCCTTTTCTACTAAACTTTATCTTTTGTTATTTAACAAAAGAAATGCGATACATTTAATAATTTTAAATAAATCTTTTTTAAAACAAACTATATGATAGTTCAAAAGGGATTAATTCCTTATAAAACAAACTAGAACAAGAACATTGTTATTACATAATACTCAATTCATATTGTTATAAAAAAAATCATCATAAAAATATATATTTTTCTCAAACATATTGCAAGAAAAGAATTTTATTAAAATAAATTGAGATATTTTATAATAACGTTAAAACAATGTATGTATAATGCAAAATATAGAATTCAGGAGAAAGATGAATAATAACCTATTAATGATTTTTCTTATATTACCTTAAACGTAATAAAACTACTTATATTTTGTGATATTCATGTTGTCTAACACGCCTATTTTTATCAATGTAGATAAATTTTAATCTCGATTCAATTAATTCTTTCTTTTTTTTGTTCTAAGAATTAAAAAAAAATGAAGAATAAGTTGAATCAAGATTAAAATTAATCTATGTAGATTGGTAAAAATAGGCAAAAGTTGCACATTGATATTGATTCATATTTGTTTTTAAATATAAAAAAATAGCGCTTATAAGACCTTGGGATAAATGCAATATCTCAAGAAAAATATTTGAGTAAAGTTTATTGTAAAATTAAACTATATAAAAATTTGTTTAGCTATATAAAAGTAAAATAAATGCATTTTAAAATAATGATCTTTATCTTGAGTCATTCAAAAGCCAAAACGTTTTAAAGATATGATAAATTTACAATTTATGTAATAAAGTAATATAAAATATAGAAATCTAAATTTTTTAAATGGTTTCTCTCTGTCTCTCTCATAACATTAAAGAATTAATTTATATAAATTCATATTTATGTATAAAGCGTAAAAAAAACAAGAAATACTACTTTGCTATTTAATTTGATTCATATTAATTTTCAATAAAGTCCTCTGCATAAATTGTAAAACATATAAGTTTGTAGACACGAGCGCGCCCACACACATACACACACACACACACAAACACAAAATGACGTATTATCACACACAAGATATACGTAGATGCAAATCAACTGCACGCAATAAATTGCGACAGCGTTGACATTTTATTAGGTCATTAAATATGAAATGTCCGTTTTTCGTGTTATTATTAATACGTATTATCATTAATATGAATATAATATGGCGGACAAATACTGGAACAATTATTCACTTCTGTGGAAACTGTTATGTTGTGGTCCTTTTAGCTCGCTAATAACAAATTTCCTATCGCATTTTATAAAGTAATCAATAACAATTTTTGAATGGAAAAAGCATTAATTTATATATGTATAATTAAATTATATATAAGTATACCAATACAATCTAAAATACCATAATTAGGTTAGGATAGGTTCTAATCTTGCGACCCGCATTCTGCATGCTATGAAAATCCAGCTTAATATAAATTGTATTCTTTTAATTTTTCAATAAAAACCATTTATCAGAATTTGTTGTTTTAATTAACTTGAATTGTTAGGGCAACTAATTCTTTGCTACAATAAAGATTGCTAATATAACAAGTTTTTTTATAGCAGCAAAAATATACGTTATCTTAGCTAGCATGTTTTATTACAAATTTTAATCTTTAGACCAAATTCATTTTTGCAGAAAGTTACCTTTGCTACATTAAAGAATTTACTATGCTATTAGAACGAATATGATTAGCTACAATCGCTAATTTAATTCAGCTGTACAACTTTACTACTTTAACATAGAAAACTCGCTGTCACTATATTACGGCTGTAGATTTGCTAAATCAGCGAAGTTCTTAGTTGTTTTAGCAAATTTTTTTTTTCCGTGATTATATCCATCAGCTTTAATTTGGAAAATTTGACATCAGATTCGTAATTAGCAAAGAATCTCTAGGTACTAACTTTCAAAAAATTCAACAAAAATTTGTGCTATAAAGCGTTGTTAGTGTCATATTTTCTTAGTAGTTGATGCCCTTTGGCGCTCTATATTTCTGAAATCAATTGCGTCCTCAACGTAAAACTTCATTGTGATAAATGTTTCATCATGAGCTATCATTTGAGGTAAAATTCGATTCCAATATGAAGGACCAAAAAATAGGCAAAAAATTCACCTTCTTTTGCGATCGTTTCTTTCAACTTTGAGAATCTGTTTTCTTTAATTGCGTTACGACGATTTTTAACGGAGTTGGGAGTAATTTAATTGAAAATATTTATTTTATTTAATTCGCGATAACTCAATAACAAAAAATCTTAGCAATAATTATAAAAAAATGATTTTGTAGAGTAAGTTTTGAACTTTTTATGTTAGAAAGTCAAAAATTTTTCCAATTTTTTTTAAGCACGTGACAAGCTCACAAGTAATAAAAAAATTGCATTTTATCCTGCTTATAGTTTTCTACATATATAAATTATTAAACTTGCATAAATTTAAAAAACATAGCGATCTTTTGAAAATTGAAAGAGATATAAAACTTTTTTTTTTAATTTAAATTTCATTCATTTTTAACGAAATTACGGCTGCTATTAATAGTAATACGAAAAAAAGCACATTTCATACTTAATGACCTAAAGCTGCATCCAGACTATCGAGCCAAAACGCGAACCGAATCTCGAGCCGAGCCGATATAGTACATTGTGTAACCAGTGGGGATTAGTTGTTTATTGCGCATGCGCTCCCGCGTCGCACTATAGACAATTATACCACACGAATTTTGCACATAATATATATAACATACAGGAACGCATGAATGTCAATATCTCAATAAGTTGAATACGTTTCGCAAAGTAGACT